ACGAATGACCTGGAGCAAAGGAGCACTGAGAAAGAGACATCAAGAGAAAGAGGCGACGACCTACCGAGGAAAAGATAAAACAAGAGTGGGAACAGGTTACAGCGTCATGATCAAGCATCGTAGAGCTAGCTATAAAGAGAAAGCGATGGGGGTAAGAAACTTAAGCTTTGGCTTAAGTTAATGATAGACATTTAGCTTTGTTGGCTGTTTTTCCTTTCATGGGAGAAGAAAAATGGACGCAGGTTTTCACAGTTGGTGTTCTTTATGAGGGGGGTGAATAGGGGTATGCAAATCCGCCGATCCGCTATGATTTATTAACCAAATCCGCCGTTAAATTTTCACCCTGAATCCGAAATCCGGGCAAAAATATTTGTATTACAAGCAGAGTCCAAAATCCGGGACCAAAAAATAGATGAATCCGCATTCCGCTGNTGAGGGGGGTGAATAGGGGTATGCAAATCCGCCGATCCGCTATGATTTATTAACCAAATCCGCCGTTAAATTTTCACCCTGAATCCGAAATCCGGGCAAAAATATTTGTATTACAAGCAGAGTCCAAAATCCGGGACCAAAAAATAGATGAATCCGCATTCCGCTGCAGTTGCAGGATCCGGAAATCCGTTAAAAACTCGCTTTGAGTCCGAAATCCGGGAAAAAATATTTGCAAAATCCGTCGATCCGTTCGCCTATTCACCCCCCTCCTTTATCACCTTGACCAGCCGTCGTCGTTTGTTACGTGTTAAGGTATCAAATCTGCCCATTACACTGAAGTGTAAAAAGTTTCGACTTTCTCCATATCTTTGCTTGTACAATAAACTATGGGTTTCATTTTGAAAACATTGATGCATAATTTTGTATCGGGAGTCTTCGATAGTTTTGCTATCAAGAGAGAAGATAATTTAACTTGATGAGACATGAAAGACCATGTTGGGATGAAAAACTTCCGGCAGCGCTGCAGTTTGTTGCTTTCCTGGCTGTGAGAAGAAAAAGTCCTATTTCTCCTTTAAGTATCGGCGGGTGTACTGGGAACTTTGAGACTCGTCAGTAATTATTTAGAGCAACGGTCCACTTAATTAAAAGTGAGAGAAAAGATAAGGTTTATAGCTCATTTTCGGTTTGTTGATAAGCTGCTTACATCAAGATTTTGTACTGCGCGCTGAATCCCTACTCTCTGTCAAATTAGAAAAGTTAAGTTTCCCACCTAGATTTCGTTGATGCCAGAACTTTCGAAAAAGCCATACACATCATTTAGCGAATTTGTATTGCTTGAATAAGCAGTTTTCGATACAAAAATGCGGTGTTTTGAAAACTTTTCTGTCAAAACAGACTTGATCACGCGTACAATTTAAGCACTGCAAAAGACAATTAATAAGAATAACAAGTTTGATCAGCACAATTTGTTTTGAATGTTAGCTCTTTAATAGCCCGGATAACGTTTGAATAGAGATTCAAGACTAAATTTTCCTGATGGGCTCTGTCGTTTCGCTTATACGCCTAGGGAGAAACTATATTTTCTCCCAGCTAGCCGTCACTATAAAGCCGCACTAATGACTCGGAAACAATTTTAGGTTATAAAGTCAACTCGCTCAATAGATTTTCTTAAGTCAGCATAAATTATGCTTAACATCTACGCTACTCAGAGCTCCGCTTTTAGGCTTGGCTAACTATATATTATTCCTTGAACGACTGTTTTTGACCACTCGTCAACACGCCGTGTCACGAATTACCCACTCACCCTCTCCTATCAGTGGTTATTCCACTTCTTTTGAATTTCTTTTCTTTCTCGTACTGCATCGATTGAAAAATCCTTGGTCCGTAACTTACAATACGGCCCTTCAATTCCGCACTTTAAAAGTTTGAAAGCATTTTGATTAGTCATCTCTCTTTACTCCAAGATCCTGATCGCTTAACCAGTACTTGCCATTAAAAGCTTTTAACCCAAGAACCCCACACCTCAATCCTGTTTACCCTTTAAAGACCCTTTTGATGTAGAGAATCTCTCTCTTCTCACGAATAATCTTGTCTTGTAACAATATCCTTGCTTAGCTCACTGTTTTGTGACTGACTTTATTTTCTCTTCCTTGCCTTGTTTTTGTACAATATTCTACTTAAGAGCCTAATAGATAGTTTTGTTTCATAGTTTTCCTCTATTGTTATACAAAGGTCCATGTTTTATCTTCCTTTGTTGCCTTATGTAACTTTACAACCTCTCAGTCCGCACTTTCGTCTTTAATTTTATACTACTAATCATGTATCGATCGTTGATGCCTTGGTTTCTTTGTGGTAGACGGTCCGGGTCCAAATTATCTCTTCACAGATCGCTTCTCTGTTTCCTGCCTAAATTGTGTTTCCTTTTTCTTCCTTTGCTTGATCCTGCACCAACATATAAACACATATTTGATAAAAAACGTGTCGTACTGCTGGAGTCTGCGATAGATTTAAAGCTCTGAAGTTCGATTTCGTAATGCTCACCAGTAGTTAAGTGAAAACAAAGGCGCTGGAAAAACTGGTTATATTCCAGTCCATAGAAAAGCACGTGGCCTAACTGTTTGGCGCGAACCAATCAAGTCCTGACCCTATCGTTGCACCGTAACGCGGGGTGAGGGCTTGACTCACGGTTTCAAGAAACTTGTTAGGATCGCGAAGCTGTCATGTTTCTTCCCGCAAAACATCTAACAGTGCCGTTCTAAAATAGATAGTAAACTGGTGGAAAATTTACTGTATATCACATTAAGACCTCTGGTTATGGACTACCCCAATCGCGTTGCTTAATTAATATTTCTATCTTGAATAAGAAGAGGCCGTATTGATATCGCATTTAGTGTGCAAAGCACTATGAAAAGGTCAAATCTAGGGCTCCTGTTTTAGACCAAAGTGACAGAATATTTGCCTGCGCTTATATTGCTCTTCAGCACATGTGCAGAACTTACCTCGACGTTTGTATAAATGACGCAGCCAGGCGGGGCAAGCTGTAAGACAGGAAAACAGGCAGGTGACGTTTGTTACAGTAATAGAACTAACTGAAGATCCGATTCGGTCCGTAAACAAACATGCAAGTGATAACAAAATTGGACGACCGCGTAACTGGAGACCGATGTGTGCCTTTAATTAAGTTTGAACATAAACAGGATTTAACGACCTTAACTCATATTTCTAATTTATAATGTCAGCAACAGATGCAAGAAATTGATTTATATACAACTTAGCGCGTTGCAGAGCTTGTAAGACTTTAAAAATGATAGATGTTACACAAGGTATATCATTTACACAATGTTTGATTTTCATAGGCCGACCTCCCCCCCATAAGGTTTCTTAACGATTTCTCAAAAATTATTAAAACGTATCCCTGGAAATTCATAGTAGCTGTTTATTTACATCTTAGTCATATTTGGTAAGAATGGAAGGAAAGGCGGCCATAAGGTTATTGAAATGTTTAACGCAAAGTGATGCATGGTCAAGCCTTTTACACGAGAACATGTTTTAGAGACCATAAAACTAGAGTTTATCTAATTTATAACACAAACATGAGAAATTAAATCGTGTTTAACATTTTAGGTTGTGAAAAAAAATAGTTTGTCAAAAACATGGGAAGCAGAACGCATCAAAATACGATTTAAAGACAAAACTGATTTTTTACTAAATCTGCATTGTTGCATTATATCTCAGGCCTTCAGCAGCGTGTTGATTATGCTAACCGACAAACGTTTTGTATCAACTTGTAGATTACACGACAGGCTGTCAATTGACGGTAAAATATCTCGAAAATATTAAAACACAACAAAAACACACAGGGGGTGGTTCTATCCACTCCTCAGTCCTTACCACCCCCCTTTTCCTTGGACGCTGGTGGGGGAGGGGGGGGGGTGTCTAGGTTAGCTTAAACGTCCTAGCGTTGAGTCCTGTCCTTAAAGAAAAGCTCTCATTTACTTACTCTTCTGTTTCGTGGTGTGAACATCAGACAAAAGGCTTCTGACATATTTGTCTGATTTTTTTGGCTTTCCCAGAGCGAGCCACTGGGCCATGGAGATATGACCCCTCTGACAGAGAGCGCGCATAAGGTCACGCCTTTTGAGTGGACAAGGTGTACAAGGGTCACTGTCTGGATCTAAACTGTAAATCCAACAAAAGGCAATGAGGGGATTTATGTCATTATACATTAGCAGTTCCACAAATTCGCCACAAACTAAGGGGTGAAAAGTAACGCCACACACGAGCGATGAGGTCCACACAGCCAGAGCTTATCCCGATTTCTTTAGCATGAAAAACCTTAGATGTGTTGTTATTCTCCCCCTAGATGGGATGCTAGCCTATCGCAGGGGTTCCCCCCCCCCCCCCATCACAATCTCCTAATTCCAATGTATCTCTTCCGTACAAGAATCAAACGGATAAAAAAGTCAGTAGTAGCAAAAACAAAAAAGTATACAAAAACGTCTGAAGGAAAAATGTATTAGACGTACTACTCAGCGACCCATCAGCCTCCCTCGTCTCCCACCTCCCAGACGCCCCCCCCCCCCCCGCTTAAAATAGTCGTTTCCCATTTATAAACCCGGGGGAAAAAGAAAAAATGGGAAAAGTTTGTTTTTGGAAGAAAAAAAAAAAGGCTCAATAACTTTTTCGAAGGCCCCCCTCTTGGAAGTTCCGCGCGCCCACCCCCCCTCCCCCCCGCCCCCCCCCCCCCCCTCCTCCCCTCTCCAAAGCATTAGACGGATTTTCTAAAATTAAATTATCACTGGGACGTTGGATGAACACAGTTACCAGGGTACACTATAAACTGGTTGTAGGCAAGCTAAGGTAAGGCGATTTACCCTGTGGTACAAATATGCTATCGCGAATAGTTTAAGCATTAAAACTAAACGAATTGTAGCACTTTCTGTATAGCAGTACGTGGCTGAATTATGGAGGATCAAAATGGTAAAATCGAAACGCGGCACAAATTGGTACATTTCGCCTCCGTCCTCCTCAGTTACGCAGGCTATGATCACAGTCAGTATAGTCACAACTTACAGAAAGTTAAAATCTTCCCTATTAAAGATGGCTTTTCCCCAATTGCACCAATCTCTCCAAGCGTCACAGCGTGCTTGATGAAGTGCTTCTTCAGCCCTCTTGCGAGCCCTGACAGCGTCACTGATGACGAAAGCGAGTCCAAACAGTAGAACAAATATCCCTGCAGGCCCTGTCTCGATCCCAGCTATAGTAAGAATTCCTGAAAAAGATAATTTAATTCGAGTTGTTGGCAGCGTTAAACCAGTCAATTACATTGTTTACGAAAATCTTTACAAATCGACAGTTAAGAAAAGTGTGATCAATTGAATATTTCTCACCATAGTAGAGACATTCATCGTCCGCTTTAATAACATATCGCTGAAGCTCTTTTTTTGTAACTGCAATCCTATGAATTAATTTAAACTGGAATTCTTTCAGTTTTGTCTCCTTGCAGACGCCAGAGAGAAACTATTTGGTATTATATCTGGCCCATACGGAAAAGAAATATTAAAGAAATTTAATTACACAATCATGAAATGCTACATATACACCAGTAAGGTGCATAACCAAGCTATTTACCTTTCTGGCGTTGTTAATAAAGTTTTATTTAAGTACAGAATAGAAAGCTTTTGTCATTAGCAACGAAAAAATGCCCCTCGCAATTTAAGCGCAAAACCATACATAGCATTAGTTAGTTACACGTAAGAGAAGTGTTAACGTTAGTACTGTTGAAACCAATGTAAAGTAAGTTAAGCGATATATGCAATAGTTTTTGTAATTAATAGTAGTGCATGAAGCCAATACAGTACATTAAAAAAATAATAATTCAATACAATACAGCTTTAAAATAAACCCTAGGTGTTCACAAAGAAACAAGAAACTTGAAACTATCCGGCAGATTTGGTGACCTAAAGGAATTCAAAAATTAAGCCCTCGGGAACCAAAAAGGAAGCCATCTATAAAGAAGATGAAATAACGGGCTGGGGGTTATTGGTCGCACACTTCGGAGACCATACGGACACGTAGTTGCAAAGCGGGGCCCAAAGTCGAACCCGCAAAAAAGGACTCGCGAAAAAAAAACCCAGCACCCCAAACGCATAAACGAAAGTCACTCTTGAAGGTAATTGGGATTACATGGAATGGGGTAAAATGTACCTCCAAAGACGCCAGATGCCATGTCATAGTTGGAGACTTATTCTTAACCACAAAGAACAACTCTAAGAATTTAATAAAGCATCTACCAGGGAATGAGCCAACCCTTTCTTAAAGACAGTGTTCTTGTTAATTTTTCAGGGAGGGAGTTAGTTGTTGTTGTTACTACAGCTAGCACTAATACTACAGCTAATACTCTCATAAGTCGATACCCAGGAGAAGGAATAACGGTGACTTTATATGGAGCAGCTGCTTACAAGAATGGCTCTCGCAGGTCAGTTTCGAAGCAATGGAATGTGACTAGATGTACTTGGCCACAGCAGTGCGTTATCAAACACTATATTTTGATATGGCACTTTATATCGATCTACTTTGAAGTCATTATGACGAACAAAGGTCAATGGGATTTTCTCTTATATTCGGTTGTCCTCCTACGGGAGCTAAAGCAATAAAAAACGACTAAAGCGTTACTTCCCAAACTGCCTCATAGGGCAATGTTCGTTCGCTCATGAGAACAAGGCTAAAAACAGAGATGGTATGGAAACTTAAAACGCTTTCTTTAGCCAGAAGGCGATCGTAGGTAGAGACAGGAGGAATGGGCTCCTGGTAGGAAGAGTACCAAAGCATCTAAATCATTCATTATGAAGAAACGTCAAATTACAGTAGCTTATTCTGTCATATCGTTAACCCCGAATTTAAGTTCAGAATACCAGTGCCGACGGATTGTTTGAGGAGAAAACTTCCTTGATCACTAACAGCAAATTTTGGTTCTCGTTCCACAGAAAAGCTATTTGAAAGTTGGGTAAGTAGAGAAAAGAAATAATAATAGACAGATAACGTGTAGCTCGTGACAAAGGTGATCTGTTGGCTTTGTGTTTTCCTTTCAGTGTACTTCAATTTCGTGTTTTGACGAGTTTTAATTAAACCACCTTAAAAGTAGCTATTATAAACTGACTTACCAACTGCTGCCCCTAAAGTAGATGAAACCGCTAGTCCAATATCGTCTGCTAACTTCCACCCATCCAGTGTTTTTTCTTGACTGTCTTTGTAAATGTTATAAAGGCTTATGCCAAGGAACGCAAAGTCTGCAACGACTCCTAGGCCCAGAAAAAGCTTTGTTTCAAACGTGGCAGCTCTGGTAAAGTATCTGGAGAGCCTCGTAGTAAAGCGCTCCGTGCTCGCCAAATCTACTCGGAAATCCGCGGCGGCCAGTCTATCAAAAACTGGAATGTCATCTGCTGCCCTGTTTAGTTGTTGCATGGGTATCTCTTCAACATCAGCGCTGTTGGGGGTATTAGGAGTGATCTGCTCCCTTATACTCCTTATGAAGTCAATGGAGCTTTTCCATGATCCAATGGCACCGAGGAAGGCTGCTGCTACACCGATACCGGCGGGTATGGATTGATTGAGGTTATGACTATAAAGATCGCTACCAGAGTCACTTATCTCTAGTATGATACTACCAAGAGCACCGAGGGCACCAATGGTGTTAAAGGCAAATGACACTTTCGCAAATAGGCGTGGATTTTCCACAAGCCTTCTTTCAACAAACCCCTCTGGTCGTGGCGTCAGTCCGCCTTCTTCCGGAGCGTATAAGCGTTTTTGTAGTACATGGTCTTGGAAATCCATTAAAAGGCGCAACTTTTTAGTCTTTATTGCTCGGTTTTCATAATGTCGGTCAACCAGTGTTTCAAGATCGTCACCCGGTGTATTTCTCTCATCTTCCTCGTCTCTGGCGGTGAGAAGGCTGTGAAAAGTTGCTATATCTTCAGCTCGTTTTTCCTTGAACATAACCAAAAACTTCTCTTGGAACTCCTGTGCCCGCCGAGAAGTGACGCCAAGTGTATTCTGTTTCTTCACTTGTAACACACGTTCAAGTATGCCGAGCTGAGTGCTGGTCATAGGATTAAACAAGGTTCGAAAAACCAACAGTACTGTGTCCCGGATTTGGATGCGCAATTCGTCTGGTACTAGGTTTCCCACAAGAGTCTCGAAAGCCAGTTTGAGTGCAAGATCTTGATTATCTGAAGCCTTCAGCAGTTTCCAGGGCTATGGAAAAACACAAAGGCAAGCTAAAACACGCAATGCAAGATGCGTGGTAGACATGCTCTTCAATCAAATTGGGTATGGTAGAAAATCACTTATAGTCAGAGACAAATTAACGCTACTCTGAATTATTATGAACGAATGTAACTGCCGAAAAGTTACAATACATGACACGAAGTTTAGACACTCCTGTGTATTGTCTTTTTCAGATGTGAATTCGTTGGGGTCTTTTCCTCCATTCATACCCGCGTTGAAGCCACAGGAGTGTCCAAACGATAGGCCTCGAATTGCAACTTTTCAGTTACAATTATTCATGATAAACCAGAGTAGCATCAAACCATGTCTTATCGTTCTCTGTTCCAATGTTCGCATGCCCTTTAATCATTTACTGTCTCTTAATGTAACAGTCATTAATAGGTGTGGCAGGTTTAGATTGCTCCCCTGCAAACATGTCATATTTTCTATAACCTAAGACTTTCTTACAAAAAACAAGGCTACTCTTCTGATCTACAGAATTATTAGTTATGCCTGGTTTATACAGGAAATTCGGAGTTGTGCTACTGGTGAACCATAGCAACGTATGAATGGAAGTAAATTAGATGAATGAAAAGCGTTCGTTAACACCATGGAGATAAAGGGTGTCTATTTGAAAAATAAACTTTGTTGTAAACTCTTTCGGCTTTCCGTGTTGCCCTGACAGAGTGAAAACTCGTAGAGTGTCCAGGCAGGTTAGAGACATGTAACATGACTTCTATTTTGGATGATAAAGTACAGTCGGAGTCTAATATGTTGGATTCTAATCGAGAGAACTCGGGTTTCATTTTGCCTGTTGCAGGCTGAGAATTTTCGTCTTTTGCTTATTCCCCAGAAGGACACTGATAACTAGCGTATAATAAAATGAGATAGCTAACAAGCGTTTTAAGTAGGAGCATGCTGCGAAGTCGGCCAATAAGCAGATGAAGCTTAGGTAAGTTCTGAGAGCTGATACGCGATTTTCGAGTTTCTAGTCATGGACCAGGGCTACCAAAAGTCCATGATAATTGAGAATTCATCGAAATAAATTCGATTGTGCACCTCACGTGAGATGTTCAGTCGCGGATGAGAGGAATAACAGAATAGAACATTATGAATAGAATAAAACATTGTCTTAGCTATTGAAATAACTGAAAATATTAATTCTAATAACTGTATTGTTTTATTTCTGATCGTGAAGACAACGCAAAAGAGTAACTATCGTATCGTACAGAAACAAAAGTGGCACGATGCCTTTCCAAATCCTGGAGAACAGTTTGGTCTGTGTTAGTTACTTCATACCTGATTAAGCACAGCTCTCGCTGTTAGGGAACTGATAATATCCTTTCTTGCACTTAGTCCAAGGTCCGGTCGTATAGCGTCTAATACCGGTAGATATGAGTGAAGCACAAGCTTCAAAGTTGGTAGATCCTGAATAAGTAATTGCTCCAAAAAGTCCGGTCCACGGAGCCTGTTGGCAATTAGAACAGCAATTCCGCCATAACTGGAATACTTCAAGGAGGCATCGCGCATCACCTCTGGTGCTATCTGTGATGTTAATATAGCCATCTCTCCTTTCATCCACTCTGAATTAAACAACTGCTGCAATTTGTCCTTGATTTTTCCTTTTAGAACTTTGTCTTCCCAGTCAGACATGTCGGACATGTAATAACAGGCTTCCGCGTCTCCAACCGTCTGCCATCTTGGGTCAGGATCTCTCTCAGTTTCACTATCACTTCCCGGTGGTTGCGGTAGAGAGGACTTGATCTTATTGGAAATGGCGGTATTAACACGTTCACCTATAACGTGGAGTAGCGTTATATCGATATGGACCGTGAGAAGGGGTTTAAAAAGGCCCTCGCTAAAACTCCCAGGACCAACTGCTTTTTCGGCGACCTCAGTCAACTTATCAACCGAATCGGGTGCGGCATTTGTTACGGTATCGGTATCGAAATCGAAAAGTGTCGAAACTGCCTGGCAGATACCGTTTATCTTAAAAGGTGGCGGAAGTAACCAGACAAAGTTCTGAGGTGGATTAGGATATTCATAACTATAAAGTCCAGCAATCCTTGCTAGGTCCGTGAACTGGCCAGGCGAGTCTGACTGGGCGTCAGACGGTGGTGCATAAGAGATACTGTAGAACAATCCTGAAGTCATTCGTTTCTGAGCAAAACTTCCCTCTCGATACACGTTCTGGAACGCTGCTTCAATGTTCACACTGCCTTTCCGGAACCCTCCAACAAGAGGAAGGGGTCCACCGTTACCGCGAAAAATTACTTTGATGGGTGGAGTGGCTCCAGTTTTCGATACCACAACTGGAGCCATAGTGGTTCTGGCAAATCGAAGAAGGGCTGCTCTTACTCCACGATGGGAGGGTACATTTATTCCTTCACTACCATAATGAAGAAAGGCGTATTTGTTGCCTTCATAAACAGTTCTTGGTGCTGAACCGATTCCTCCCGAGCTTGTTGGTTCCGGTATTGGACGAATTGGAGTATTCTCCATTGGCAACATAAGACGCCAAGGACCGAACCATGAACCAAAGGTCTGCCTTGCACCTTCAACTTGTTGCTGTGTGGGAAACGCGATTATGTTCTTGCAGAAGCAGTTGGGTCCAGATTGAAGACTTTTGGGCCAGAGAAGTATGCAGTCATTCGGTCCTATGTCTCCGTGGAGGACTTTTATGTTTTCAGGATCACATGTCTCCGTCTTAAATATCCAAAATTTCCAAAGATGTCGCTTTAGAACAGCTTGAAGGTTTTTACCATTGCAACTTACGACGTTCCATTTAAATTTGTTATTGGGGTGGTTATCTGGTGTTTCAATCAAGACTCTCTGACCACTCTGGATAACATTTCCACCACCCAACGTACTTATTCTGAACAAGAACCAGAACCAATCGTTTTCGGGCATGTCGGGTCCAATAGAACTTTGCGCTGTAAGTGTCGTAGGGTCAACCTTTTGCCCTCTGACTCTATACCTTGAGGAGATGCTACGACTCTGCGGTGGTAGCCGGCGTAAAAACACCTGCTCCGAGTCTGTGCTTCCACCAAACCCTGAGGGTTTGTAAAGATAAGCGTAATAACTGATCCCGGCGTGAATTATATTTGGACCAATTGAGTATGGGACTACACGGCTTGGCCTCACTTCCGGAAGTCCTGCACCGTTTAGTTTCAAATCAAGAAAAAGAGTCCTGGCCTTATAGTTGGTACCAGCAGTAATAAGAAGGTGATTATCGAAAATCAAAGCAGAGGGGCGTGTGTCAAGGCCATCAACTCCAGCCACACGAAGCGCGCCCCGTTTTCCATCTCCCTGGGCTGATACCAGACTACCATCAGGGTTAGTATTAAAAACCTGCCAATTAAAAATGACTTCAACTGGCTTTTCCGTTCTCTCTCGACAAGTAATAACAATCCAGCGATCACCTGTGGCATCACGTGCGACTGCGAAACAGCCTTTTTGAGCTCTTTTTGGGCCGGTGTTTACAGTTGTGTGTCCCTGAGTGGCAACTTGTAGACTACTTCGATCTTGAGTCAGCTGATACACATTTACGACGACATCATTCTCAGCTGATAAGCGAAACAAATAAATCTTTTCATTTCGTTCATATGCCACAACTGGAAAACTGGAGGAAGCCGGGGTGAAGTCTTCTAATACTTTAAGGCTGGAAACTTGGGTTGAGTCTGATATGACATAGTAAATTAACTTGATCTCTTGAGATAGTCTGAGGTGCCAGGAGCCTACAGGAGCGCCGCTTTCCGAGGATGGATCATTCATATTGCTTTCTATTTCCTTCTCTGTCCTCTCGTTGTCAAAGATACGGATATAAGCAAGTTGCCCGTTGAACTTAACTGGCGTGCTAGAATCTTGTGGATTTGTGCGGGAACCAAAAATCAAAGTCCCTTCGCTTGAAGCAGGTAAACCAGTGACACCTTCCCAATCACTTGCTGCATTCGTGGAAAAACAAACGTCTCCTCCCACATAAAGTTTTAATGTACTCCCAGCTCTTCCTGTTACTGCGATATGTTGAAACTCCATGGACTTGATTTTGCAGTTCTCGCAGTTCTCACAATTGTCACCACTTATTCTTGTAACAAATCTCAAAGGATTCACCTGACCAGTTGGGGCTACTGTGAACTGTAACTGACCGTCAGACTTGAGGTTTAAATTAATGTAGCCGGAGGAACTGGACGATTTTGAAAAGAGTGCCATCCATTGATCTTTGGGAGGCATCCTACGTGGTCGCACCCAAAACTCGATTGAGAACGCCGGATTACCGACTGTGTCCATATCAGTGTAATGATCTATAGTGATCTTGTCCACTACTCCATCGAGATCGGCTGCTCCACTTTTATCACTTTTAGGTGAGGCGGATGAGCTGTCACCACTCGGTGGCTCTTCGTACAGGTCGCCTAACTGTTCTGGAGACATCTGTACGTACGTCCCAAACTCAAAGCTTGCTCCGTGCCTCACTTTATCAGCTACAGTTGTAAACTTCATATTTGGCGCCGTTTGATGAAGACCGGTAAAAAAGGTTATTTTGGCATTTTGAGAGACATCAACTGAAAAGATGCCGGCTTCGTTTCCAGGTAGAACCTGTAAAAACAAACGGGGCTCCAATCAATGAAATAACTAGCGCATGTCCAAGGCAATACCACCAATCCATTCTTAAGTTATGAAGTACCAGAAGCAAGTCTGTTAAGATACTGCTACTCAAAGGCACGGCATCATGGGCCGTAATTTTTATCTTTCGCTTGTCAAACCAAAACGTTTTTAATAGTTAAGAATGGTGTGTATTTCTGTATAAACGGATACGATAACCCCTTTTATTAATACTCTAAACGAGTATAAAAAGTCTCTGGAACACAGATTACACTAGGCCAGGAATTACAAACTCGAATAGATTACATATCATACCTTTTTCTCCAAGATTGGTGGAGTTTGGAAGTCGACATATCTCCCTTAAAAACAGAGAAAAGATACGTTTTACTGCTGAGGTATAATCCACATGGAAAAGTACGCCATGCAAAAAACATTAACATAGAAAGGAAATGAAACAAAATGTTTTTTTTTTTTAATTCCATCCCAGCTTATATTTTTCCAGTTAAGACAGAGCTGCTTAGTCCGTTTATGGAGACGATTCTAATACGTTTTAATACGTTTCTTAAATTTGATATTCCGAGAATCTAAGTTTTCAACGTAGAGATTCCAGGCCTCTACTATTTCAACAGCGAGATTCCGAGAATTTAGTTTTTCTATATATCAAGAATCTAAGTTTTCAACATAACGTTTACAGGCCTCTACTATTTCATCAGCGAGATTCCAAGAATTTAGTTTTTCTATATGGAGTTTCCGACATTTTACTTTTTCATCGTCCGCGACCCGTTTGCTAAGTGGCTACGGTACTGGAATACAATGCGGGAGGTCTTGCGCTCAACCCAAGGCCGGACGAACACTCAGTCTTAAATAATTACTGAGCAGAAGGTGCTTCTGTTGCTATAATACATCTACAACTGGTTAAACCTTCATAAAGCTCGGATAACCACCTGAAAATAGCGGTTCTCTTCTCCATTCTAAAAGAACCACTGAGAACGTAACGAACCCTGGTGTGACCACCCTAGGCTTACTCATTCGTTGTAATCATATCGTAGATGTAAAGCGCCTTTGAACACATCCGCATGGAAAAGTGCGCTATACAAAAGCACTGTCTATCATTGTCGACATTATAGGTTCTCCTTTTTAATGTCGAGATTCCGACTGGTAATTCCATTCTACATTCTTTTCTACATCCTAAGTGTTTTGAGTACGAAAACGTCAATTTATAGTGAGATATTGATAAAAGGAATTATGTATTACTCAAGCTGTTTGCAAATTTTCATTTACTGTGCATGTAAAACCAAATACCGACTTTGCTTTTCAAGCAGTAATCCACAATAGTAATAAATGATCATCACTAATTACTCTCGTTTTATGAACGGTGAGGCTAAAAATAAACCCAAAAGTTAAAAACATGCTTCAAACGTACCAGCCTGAGAGACAAAGACAACGCATTTTTATTTATTTCAATCTAGCTAAAAACGCCTAGTAACAATTTAAATTTGAGGAATACCCGGGGAAAAACAACAGCATTAGAGAAAAGAAAACTAAACTAAATTAGTCAGTACATTTAAAGAGTTGTATGCTTCCATTTTTCCTGGTCATGTTCATATCATAGAAAATAAGAACATCCATAATAATTCCTTGTATAACGCGTAATGTAAGAACATACTTAAAGGGCATTTCAGGCTCAAAAATAGGAGCCTTCACATTCGTTCCAGCCTCAACCGCAAAATCGGACCTCCTTCTTATAAAAAAACGTGTACTCAGTTATATTTCACAGCTTTCTTCCACATGTTCCATCCCAAGAAAACCATGTAAAATAAATGTATCAAAGGTGGATTCTCTTACCTGAAGTCTTGCAAGTGTACTCTCTTTCTGGGGCTGCTACTTCAGCACCGTCCCTAACTGTCACCTCATTGGTGGTATCTTGTACTTCACACGGTTCGTCGGTCCATTTTCCATTGGCCTTGAGTACCCCACAGTCTCCATGCTCCGTTGCTTGGCTGGGTTCATTCGTATCCCAATTAGTAAATCCTCCAAAAGCTGAGCCATCTATCCAGTTGAAGGACTTTTCTTGGTTATTGTTATCGGTTAATCCCATCCACTGATCACCAGAAGCGCGTGAGCTCACAAAGTCGTTTTCCAATTTGTTGTGGATGGACGCCAAATGAACGCTGGTACCGTGCGATATACAATCGCCTTCCGCTCCGTACCAAGTTGATTCCTTAAGTTGATCTCGTTTACGTTGACTGTAATAATGACCATTCCAATAGACCCAGCCACCTAAGATACACAAAATGTAGACAGCAATGGATCGTTATTAGGCGCTTGCTACGCAGATTAGATTAACTAACTACCAAAGCACATATTCAAAAAGAAAATTCAAGCATTACTATTTGTAACTTTAGAAACTCTGGACAGTTATGCTGACACTAGCACTCTTATTTCTGAAATAAAAAAGGCATCTTAATTATAATTCAATCATAAATTATAATATTTTTCTTCACTTTTTATCACTTTTTTTTCCTCTTTTGACAAATAATGTATTCAAAATCTACTTTTTTTAACGCCTTCAATTAGTAATTCGTGTTTGTATCTCCTTAACACCGCCTGCCTAGATTAGCTCGCTATTTGCAGGCGGTGTTCATTGTAAATAATCTTTTGGAAGACTTAATAAACTTGACACTTGAAACTAAGGGTACGTATAAAATCAAGACAACTTCGACTCTGGCGAGGTTGTAATTTTCGATGGTATTTTACAAAGTTATGGTGTGTTGGAGGGGGTGTTTCAAGAACACTACTAGTGTAGCGGCCCCGGAAAGTCCTTCCATATAACTAAATCTCTCTGTGTAGCAGCTCCAAGTTTTATAGCTAGGAAAATGATTTGATGACTTAGTTTTTACTCAAAGACACTTTCTGTCCCGAACATATAGTTGTTTTTAAGAGGAGAGGAGCCAAATAATTCACACTACACCTTAAATAGCGTTGAATTGCAAAAGTCATTTCATAGCAATGGCCATCACCGATCAACCAAAGCCTCTTATCTTGAATCCTTTATTGTTTCCTATTATCATTTTTCTGCTACTTAGCATTTCCAGGCAGTCCTTGAGGGCTAGTGAAATGAAGAGCAATGTTTTATCACCACAGAATAATCAGCCGATAATCACAAAACGATATAATGAAGAATTTATTAACCGAGCAAAATGCCCAGTAATATTCAGTAAAATTTGTTACAAAGCACAGATCGATAAATTATTGGAAATTACAGCCTTTTTCCATTCGTTTACCTTACTTGAGGACGGTTTCTTACCTGCAAAGAGTTGACTCGATTTACCAGTTAAATCACACCATGACGTTCTCACTTAGTTTGTGTGACCACAGACTCCTCGAGGCAAAATCTTGACAATTTTTTTCTTTTATTCTTACCATCATTAGACAACTGGATATCATTCGCAGGGTATTTTAAGTCTAATGGTGCTTGCGGTCAATTTGAACTTCTCTTGAGGTGTGGTAGGTAAGTCAAATATGGTAAAATTAAATATACCGATTTGGACAACCTTTCTAGTACCCCCAAACAGTAGTCATGCATTTTCAAGCCGAACTATGAGGAAAAGAGCAATACCGAGCAGGTACTGGTGGGAAATTTCGAATTGCGCAACATGTCCATTTTCTGACGCAGGAAAAAAACGGAGAAACGCTGCTAATTTTTAAACTTGTAGCCTGTGTCAACTCAGTGACAAGGGTCTCACATTAAAATTAACAGGCTTAAGAGTGTTCCGCCACGAATAACGCACTAGCAAGGTGGAAATTTCCTGTATATACTTACTTTCCTCCTTTGTGTATACAATAGCTTTGATTCGGAGCTTTCCATCTTCATAGTTATTTGTGGCGTCTGCCCGGGTGATGAAATCTGTCCACTCCCAACTCTCAGGATTTAACTGCGGTTCTGAAACGTCGCTAATAGCGTCTCTAGAAGGACAAGAACCAGTCACCAGAGACCACCTCTTTGACTTCCTCCATTCAACTGAGTCGTATTTAATACGGCGATGTATCTTTGTATTTCCGTTCCTTACTATCACAGACAACCAGAGAGAATTCTGAAAAGGCCAGTGTAGTTTACTGTCGCTGCTTCCTTTCACAACGTAGACGTGGAGGTTTCCAAGGGAGCCAGCAGTTGAGGATGGGCAAACTTTAAGGCGGAAAGCATGATATGTGCTTTGTATACGAAACACAGTGCTTTGAGCACAGGTTTCCCCGGATAGGGATTCAAGTTCAGATCCATCTGCCTCCCATATAAACTCTTCTTTCCCTGGTGTAATGACGTCAGCGTTCTCAGCATTTTGACCTGCGAAACAATACAAGATAAATTGTGACCGTTTTTTAAAAGCTCTTTAATCTTTATTTTCGGGACTTTGTGAAAGTCCTGTATATACTGTCCGAATAATGCTGTTAGTGCAGCCTCTGTTAAGCCGCCGGCTCTGTTAACCAGCCACCTCTATTTACGTCTCTCTCGCGGTCCCCCTTTACGTTTGTACTCCTCGTTTCCACACCCACTCGGTGCGTCCAATGTGGCGTCAAAACAAAGAACGAAGCCCGGATTTTCGAAGTTGAAACACGATCTACCACTTTTTTAATTTAATTAATTTATTTATTAAGTTATACATTTATTCAATTAATCATATATTTAAGCTGATTTATATTTAAGTTAGTGTGATTTGTTTCCACTAAGAAACGATTCAAATAGTTTTATAGATTCAGTCTTGGATAAAGGTTTTATTATTAAATATATTGCAAATCTAACATAGCACAAACTTGTACACATTCCCGTGACATCAGCTTTTATAATGGATGCACTGTGGTGAGCATCAATGGTCCCAGGAGCGGTTGACCCAACGGACCAATGAACCAAATCCCCTCCATGAAAGCCATCACAATTCGTCTTCACATCGTTGATGTTAGTGATCTTCGAGGTCCATACATTGAAGTACGCAATCTCTCCTACAAACGCTTCTGCATCGATTAGATTTGTTTTCGGCTTCTGTTGTCTGCCAAGAACAAGGTAGCCTTCTTTTTGAAGTGTATTGCCCTGGCCGAGGGAGAACGTTTCTGTCGCTTCACTCGGATTATCTATGAAAAGAGACCATTGTCCAGTCGATGATTCCCACTGAATACATACAAAATGCCAACGACCGTCATTTAGGGTTTTACTGAACTCGTCACTGGTAGAATCCTTGAACGTCAGCCTGAAATTAGGATGCGATCTGATCACCAGTTCGTTGGCTCGGATTTTAGTAGCGTACGAAAGTAAGGTGCCTGCACTGGTTTGCTCCGTTCTCATCCAAACCGAAATAGTTAGTGCGTCCAGTTCTGGAAAAACTGTGTTGGCAGAAACGTGGGACTTTCTCCTCATGAAAAGCTTGTGATTATTGTCACCTGAGCAGTACGTACAAAACAAACAAAATCAAAGTGCACAAAAGAGAATTTCCTCATTCGAAGCTCGAGCAATAGACATATGGACAATCTTAAGAGAGCTATAGGCCAAATAAAACAACAGCACTAGAAAAGATAGACTTGGACCAGATAAGGCTCCGAGAAATCCGGTTGGGCTTATTTTTGTATTTGAAAAACAGAGCTTCGGAGTGTTACAGTATAGTGTTTCCAACCTGACTATAAATGGCGTCCACTTTCTGTCAAAGAGCAAGCCCAACCGCAACACCCTTCCCAAATATAAAGGGGAAATACACTGTTGTTATTACTTTGCAATTCCTTTAATGTTCCTTACTTACGTTGCTTGTCAAAACATTCGAAAATGGGGCAGCATTCTCCATTAGCCGGGTAGAAGGTGCAGCCATGTGGCAGTAGACCTGGGCATTGCAGAACTGTGTCGCAAATGGTGGTGCCATCTTGACATACACAGTTGCGGCAGGGTGTCGATGGGGGATCTGTTGGGTCTCCAAAACGCTCTCCAGACAGGAAAGTGTTGTTATGAAATATGCACTTACCTACAAGGGAAGATTAAATTCTAAAACAATGCTTCCAGGAGCAGATAGCTGGTACTGATAAGATCTAAATTACTTTTTCAAGCATTTTAAAGGGATCCTTTAAAATGACACAATAACCCTACTTATGGATACCCTGTATTAAAACTGCAAACTTTTTTTTTGCTTAAAAAAAGTTACAGGTTTTATAGTGAGCGCGTCAGGGAGTAAATAACCTTTCATGTGAATATATGAAGAATACTTCATTTGAGCGTCTCATGACCATCAATAAGCGAAACGTTTTGCCTACCTTCCCTTTATGAGTTATGAGTGTGTGTAAACATCTAAGTGTAAACTCCATTTTGACGCATTATTTGTTAAACTTATGCATCGCTTTGTATCCTCCCTTATATTCTGTGATTGTGTTGTATGTGTACGGTAAAACACAACTGTTCTAATTCTTTGCCTCTGATAAGAGACACAACGGTGCCCTTAGCTTGTCTGTAGGAACGTAGTGTACTTGAGGAAGCGCGATGAACAAGCTTCCCAGAAAATAATGTATGACCGTTTCTTACAAGAGCAGTTCTGCCACTAACAAAAGACGCAAGGATGCCCTTGCTCTGTTCGCAGGAACGTAGTGTACTTGAGTGAACGCCACGAACAGGCTTGCCAGAGAATAATTTATCACGTTTTTAACTAGAGCTGCATATATTTTATAAATAGATGTTGAAGCCTTGTTGTTACGTCGATCGAAAATTACGAAGAAAAAAAAAGGTTTTTGGATTATAATGCTTGTACTTACACTGATCTCCTTTCTCTACGCCGTAATCACAACACTTTGAATCATCGAGTTTGTAGACCTTCTTGTTTTGACAGCAACTCCACAAGGCCTTTTCTGAAAGTGGAACGACTGTCTTTGTTTTTCCGCATGTCAAACAGAAACTCTCTTCGGCGTTGAAGCCTTGATTACCACAGCAGTATCGCATATCAGCCTTTTTAACAGACAGCAACGACGTGACAACATCATTGCAGCAGACGGCCTGCGTCGTCAAGAAGGGTTTATCGCCGCAGCATTGGACCGTACTGTCATCAGCATCCGAGTCTTGTCCAGGAAGATAGTGGACCTTACCTTAAGAAAACAAAAAACCAGATAAGTAAGAAGGTTTACGCTATCAGGGTTCAAAGGCCTGAAATGCAATGTGGTAACCTGGGGGTTCACAAACCGACAGCTGGGATCCCAAACCCTGCGGTACGAGCAGATAAATTTTTTAACCTTTCTCCAGTTCTAAGTAGTAAGTCTCATAGTGAGTCTCTAGCATTTTCGTAAAATGCAGTCAAAAAAATTTGATGACAGATCAACTAAAAATCCTCACTTTGTTAAAGTACGAAATTTCCTCCATGTGTTTGCTCAACGATGTATTTTAATACATCGTTGTATTAAAATACTGTGAGGAGAAGCTTTACATTTCGATCCATTTTGGCAGTTAAATTAAGGGTTTAGGAAATCTCTAGGAATTGGAAAGCGTTTGCGGGATCAGAGAGACAAATTCTCAACGTTTTGGGAATCAGGGATTAAATTTTGAGTGAAACATAGTAGAATCAGGCATAACACTGAAAATCGACACGAACACTATGAATTTTTAAGGATTTCGGGATTCTGAGCTCGTTATCCAACCCTATTGAAAAATATCGATGGCTTAGTTCCTTACCACGGCAACAAGTTTGTAAATCAGGAAAGTAGCCTTTCACGCCGCAACATCTTGCCCCTTTCGCATCTCTAAGAGCACCAGACAGATCGCTCAGGAAACCTTCGCAACAAGTAGATTTTTGTGGGTTGTATGGCTTCTCACCAGCGCAGCATTTCCAGGTCTCTTTCTTAGGACGCACAAAGTGATTGGAACCACATCTGTCACACACTTTATAGCGAACGTCATAATTCACTTCGCCGCATTTCTCCACCATATCTGTGAATATTGTACATGTCAATTGGGTGCTTAAAATCCTTCAAGCAATTCTAAAGTATTTGGTTATGAGCGAGGCAAAGAGCCAAAGGATGGAGGTGAACCGTGTGTCCGCACTCCATCACTGCTAAAACAAGGCCAAATATTTTGGTAAAAGAGACTTTGCTGACTGAACTGAGACTGGCTTTTTAAAATAGCTGCGTTGTTTCTCCCCATGTGAAGGAATCCAAAATCGTTTAGGATTCGGTGTAAATGGATTCTAGACTCCAAAATACCTGGATTCCGGATTGCGTATTTCAAAGCCCAAAAAATGGTGGATTCCGGATTTCGGACCCCCTTACATGTACATAGGACGAGATCTGTCTTTAAGAGCACGATCAAAGCAGTTGCTGGTAAGCAGACTATTGTAACACAACAAATATTCCTTTCCGTGTGTCATTACTTAGATTAGGGCATTTGATAATTTGATTTCACAGTAGGGTACTTTAATTCTATTCCTGCTTTAGCCAGATCGATACTGGGTAGAGGTTATAAGGGCTTAAAAAGGGTTGGATTTAAATATCAACGTTCAGATGTTATTCTCTGTACCTTTTTGTATGATCAGTTTTCCAGTATCACTTTGAAAAGGACCTCCGATCAACATCTGTATGTCTCCCAAATCGGATGCGAAGGAATCGCTGAAGCTTACGGATTGCGTGCCGTTCAAACGTGTAGAGTTCCTGATGAAGTGAACTTGGTCTCCAACTTTCAAAGGGCGGCTTCTTCCGAGGCTGTCGTGATAGTCAGAGATGTAACTGCCAGCAACGATGAACTTATTTTCTGGGCACGATTCCGTATTCCACATCCAGTGTTTAAGGTGTGGCAACCCCGGACAAGTACCTAAACTACACTGCTTCCGGTCTGACTCACAGCTCAGCCACAAGCCAAACCCTTGGTCATTTTCCCTGTAAAAGAGGGCAACCTCGTCTCCATAACGAATGGGATTATTTTTTGAGGATCGCTCCTTGGCGTAAATGTACAGCACTTTTCTTCGGTGAGTGAAGGCGTTTTCATACACTTGTCGCTTTGAGAAGCTACATTCTTTGTTACCACATGTCAACCATGAGCTGCCGGCGGATGACGACTCACCGGCAGCAAAAAGAACCGGGTCGCTACTGTAGATATGATCTGGGTCTTCTTCTGGCAAGGCAAATATTAATTAATCAGTCAATCAGTCAATCAATCAATCAATCAATCAATCAATCAGTCAGTCAGTCAGTCAGTCAATCAATCAATCAATCAATCAATCAGTCAGTCAGTCAGTCAGTCGATTAATTCATTGTTGCAATACCTTTTCTTTTCAGTAAGACTACAGCAATCTGTCGTACTACCCACGGGATCATTTCACTAAAAAGTGGTCTTCTAAAGAGCCGTGCACGTTAACCTTAAATATATAACATAGTACTTAAAAACTAAGACTAAAAATTTTCGAAATTACACTCTTATATAGAAACACCAGGCTGGATGTTCTTACCTTTCTTATATTGTGAAGCCTGAAGCTTAATTAAGTACATTGTTATGTTACGTAGCGTTACGTTACGTCGGATGTCTTGTCATTGCCTACTTTGTTAGAGTAGAGGTTTACAACGTTAACACCTTTAGATGTAAGGAGATATCAGATTCCCTCTTCTCGCTTTCCTCCCGGCTGTTGTTACGACGTGTTTTGTCATAAAAATGCTTCGACTGTTAGTCTCAGAGTGAGTGCGTTCTTAGCATGTTCTTCAACACATTTTGATCAATTTCAGCCACAACATTCTTGTAAAAAATGCCCTATAAAAAAAACTAGAGCGACGGTTATCTTTTTTTCACATTTTCACGCTTAGCGGTTAACCCCACTGTGACCCTAGAGAAACGGCTGGTAGGGGCATTTACCTGCAGAAGCTGAAAGGCTCCAAATTCCTCCAAACAGGAGAAAGACTACCCAGCATCCTATGGATGCTGCCATCGTATGTCTGTTGCCAATTTAGGCCCTGCAAAAAGACAGATCAGATAGGATACTTTAGGTAGCCAACTGGAGGTTGAATCACCTATAACACAGGAAGAACCTACCCCTCGCCATTTAGGATTTAAAATATCGGAGGGGTCGTCAATTTATACCCCCAAAAGCCCTTCAGTAGTCGTTATTGGTAAATAGCGTTACGCACTGTATGGCGTATTTTCCGAGGAGCCTTTCGTTTTATCTGAATGACCTTCATTCCCATGAAAATGTATGTGCTTTCATGAAAACAAGAAGTGATGCTTCAGAATTGTTGTTAAGTGTTCACATAACCTAACAATCTAAAGCTTAATATTTGGGTTACTAAGATTTTAAAAGCTTCCAGGCTTTATCACTGTGCTCTTTCCTCTTAATCATTGCCCTCTATTAAAAGGAGTCGCGTTCAACTTTGCGGTATTTTTTTTCCTTTCTTTGTAAGCTCCAACAGTTAATTTAGTTTGTAAATAGTGCTTCTATATTCTGCAATAATTTAATGCTTACAATGTCTTTTGTAAGTTACAAATACAACAAGTGGAATACAGGAATTTTGTTTAAAACAAAGCGTGTTACCAGTATTGATGTTAATGGAACTCAAATTTACGATGACAAGGAAATTGCAAACAGCTCTAATAATTTCTTCACTAAAACTGTGAACAGACTCGTTCAAGTTTTTGGACGATGTCTACCATCTGCACGATCGTTCAAATTTCTGATGTCAGATCCATCGTACACTTTCCGTTTTGAGGAAGTATCTGTCGATTTCATCCGTGATCAACTAAAGAAGCTCAAAACCAAAAAAGCTGTTGGACTTGATCAGTTACCTGCACGTCTGTTAAAGGACTCAGCTGAAATAATTGCCAAACCGTTGACTACTCTTATTAATGCTTCTTTGATTTATGGTTACGTCCCATCTGAATGGAAATGGGCACGTGTAAATCCTTTGTTCAAGAATGGCAAATCAAATGACATGGATAATTATCGACCGATATCTGTACTACCGACCATATCCAAGGTTCTGGAAAGAGTAGTTCACACGCAGTTATATGATTTTCTGGCTAGAGAAAAGTTATTGAGCCCCTACCAATGTGGCTTCCGCAAGGGCCACTCTACTGATTTGGCTGTCTTATCGTTCACTGACAGCATAAGGCGCAGTATGGATCAGGGTCTACTAACTGGTGCAGTTTTCATCGATTTGCGGAAAGCGTTCGACACAGTGGACCATGACATGCTACTGGAGAATCTCACGATGGGATATGGAGTCACTGGAAAAGAGCTTGGATGGTTTAGGGATTACCTAACCGATAGACGACAAGTGGTGACAGTCCAAAGTACTCTGTCAGACCCTTGTGATGTTGCTTTTGGTGTGCCGCAAGGTTCAATCCTTGGACCATTGTTGTTTGTGCTGTTCATCAATGATTTACCTACTGCTATCAGCAAATGTAATATATTATTATACGCTGATGATGCTGTTGTTTTTGCAGCCCACAAGGACATTAAAATCTTGGAGGAAACTTTGAATGCCGAACTAGATGAAGTGAATAAATGGACTCTCAGTGATTTTCTTTTTATCAACAAAAGAAAAACAGAATTTGCAATTTTCGGAACTGATGCTAGGCTTTCTAAAGCTACTTACACAGTAGTTATCAAAATAGGTGATTATGAAATTTATAGAGTTTATGATTTTAAGTATTTAGGCATCGTTCTTGACGATAGTCTTACGTGGAAAGACCATGTTCGTTATGTTATTTCTAAGGTTGGTAAAAGAGTTGGTGTCTTAGGGCGCCTTAGAAGGAATATCACTATACATGCAGCTTTCGAGATGTATAATTCATTAATTTTGCCCATTTTTGATTATTGCGATGTTGTTTGGTCCAGCTGCAATAAAGCAGATATGGAAAGTCTTGAATGTTTGCAAAGGTGGGCCTCGAAAATTATAGTTAAATCTAAATGTGGTACAACATCGATCCACCGACTGTCTTAAATTTCAGAGTTTAGAAGATCGCCGTAACGCTGATATTTTAGGTTTAGTGAAGAGGTGTTTAAATAATAATGTACCACAGTTTTTAAACAATTATTTTAATTTGAATAAGGAAGTTATTTCAAGAGAAACAAGAAGAAGCAATTTTATATACTTACCTGCAGTAAGAACTGAGACCGCCAAGAAAAGTTTTTATTATAATGGCTCAGTTGTGTATAATAATTATTTAGTAAATAAGAATTAGTTTTAATTGTTATACTGTACTATTATTAACTTATAGTTACTTAGTTTCTTATTATTTATTTTGAACTTTTTTATTACTTCGGCGGAGCGCGAAGTAAAGGTTTCGCGACGCTCAGGAATGTATCAAAGTTACAATTTTTTGACAAGATTGGGCATGCAAAGTCTGTAGGTTTTCGGTTTTATTCGGCTATTTGACGAAGTGAGAGCCGTAGTAATTCGAGATATGTCGAGATCACTTCGATTTCTTTGATTTATTCTTTAACTTTTTCGAGGAAGAAAGAATTATTATTTTGGCTTTCCCGGGGTTTGAACCGACTCACCTGTGTGACCCGTCAGATCAGAGGAGACTCTAAGTTGAGGGATTAGCCGATTGCGCTACTGCGACCCAAGGTAGTTTGGGATATGAAAAATAGTTATGAAATGATGCACTAGTTTCGGGACAAGATTGGGCGTGCAAGTTCGTGACTTTTCGGCTTGTTTCAACTATTTCACGAAATGAGACCTGACTACTTCGTGATATCTTGAGATCACTTCGAGTTTAGTCTTTAATAGGCCAGTTTACAGTTGTGTGCTTAGTGTCCTAGCCTTTGAGTGAACGTGAGGCTGAGGTTGACCTTGTTTTGATAAAAACCTCCATCCTTTTCTAATGTAAATTTTGCTTAAAAAATACTAGTTAGCATAAGAAAGACATGATTTACATAATAAAGCAGGAAGGGCTGTATCAAAACAAGGTCAACTCCAGCCTCGTTTTCACGGGCAACTGTAAAATGGGCTATTACTCGAGGAATAAATAGAGGATATTTCGTGGCCGCGCAGAGACACGAAATTTCTCTTCGAGTGTTGAAAAACATTTCACGAGTGAGCCCTCCTTTCGAACTGTTTTATGATGAATTTAAAGTTACAAAATGCTGCAAAAAGACATTTTGTCTTTGTTGAGTGTTACGTAGTAAAATTGCTTTCATGCGTTGCGTGACTTTCTCGAACGTTCTCTACGTTTTTGGATTATCCATGAATAATTAATTATTAGAGCATGTTTACATTTCAGCATGAGTCAGCAGATTTGCATCAGTTACTGAAATCATAAAATATGTCGAAAAGCTACCACTATTCGCCTGCTGTTTAGTATTTTCTAGAACCTTATGTCAAACGGTATACAAGTTCCAAGCGAGTTCTTTTAAAGAACTAAGTTTTTTTCCCACGAGCTGGACTGCTGTGTTTAGTCAAGTGTGACGAAGGTCGATTTTCAGGTATTGTGTTTACAAGTTCGCGGACGCCGTAAGATATCTGAAGTTCAAGTGAGAGTTTGTTATTATTGGTAGAGGCTGTTTAGTTTTACTCAAAGTTTAAGTCAAGTTTGTGTTGGTGGATGCTGTGTTTTAAAGCTCTGTAAAGGGTATGCTCCTTTGGTGTTAAACTTCCTTGTGTTAATCCGACATCCCTGCGTGCTGATAGTCAGTGAATAATTATCCTCAAAACATTCGAACTCGTGACCTTGAGTTTTAGCCAATTCCATGCTCAACGTAATTGACTCCTTACCTATGCCTTACATATCTTTAATCAGTACATGAGACTGCTATGCTGTTTTTGAAGCCTGATGTGACTAAGAAAAATAGAGAATTGTTTTTTTTAGAAGGATTTGTATGGAGTCATCAGAGCATAACTGGGCTAATATCTCGGGGACAATTTGTCCCGAAATGCTAGTTTTTGGCAAGTAGGCCTCTTGGATGTTGCTCTTTTCAGAATATCCTGACAAATCCCATAATTTCACAAATTAACACTTTACTCTTACCATATTTGATTTCTTACTATTCCTCCGCATTTACAGTTAATTAGTTCCACAACCACGACGCCGAAATGTACGCTCCGTAGCGTCTTGTTAGTCTTAATTTAGGGCTCCTATTGATAACAGATATACTTTTAAGTATTCTGAAGGGATTACCCTAGT